TTGAGACTTTCTACACTAACTTGTAAATGTAAATTGCATTAGTACATGGTCTAATCATCATGAGGCAATAACTTCCACCAATAGGAGAGTGACATATCCTTCACGTGCAGTAGATACTCATAAGCACTTGCTTTCAAAATTAACTTCATTCTTAGATGAAAGCAAGAATAATGTGCACCAGTAGTGGGAAGGAAGGTGTGTAGAGAAGTATCTATCAGAAATACATTTTCAGGTAAGGAAAATGTTAATTTCCAAAATGATCCACCTACCTCTCTGCACAAAGTAGCTAAAATCCCACATTCCTGTAGTGGAGAGGCAAATGAGAAAACCTAGACAAGTTACCTTCAGAAAAAGTGTTAGAAATAGAAAGCACATGGAGCATGACATCCAACAGCTGAGGCTTACTAGAAAAGCAACATTTATGGGAGACTGCATCCTTCTCAGGCAGGGTATACTCTTTGCTAGGATGGAAGTATGAAAGGAGGAAGGCAAAAATGGGCCAATGTGTCACATGGATGTGCAGAAAATATACAAGACCAACTCAGCTTTTGCACACATTGAAAGGACATGAGATGTAGTGTGGCTAGGGCAATTATCAGACTGTACAGTTTGGTATATGTTCTGTTGTATAATTAACTTCCCCATACGTAAAGGAATATTAAGGTTCCTTGCTCCCTCCTGATGAGAACACTTTACCTCCATCCCAGGAAATTGGCATACAGTGTAATGGGGGTGACCTGCAGATGGACACCCCTTCCCTTCTTCCCACTGCACTTTTGCTGCCCATTCTGATTCTGTCTGGAGGAATTACACAAGTCGTGAAGAAATCTTCAAGTCAATCAACCAAATGGCTAGGAAATGGGAATGGTAAGGGTCTCCCATGTTCCATTTGAAAACTGTGGAGGAGTCCTCTAGAGAGGATGCCTGAACCAAATCCACTGCAAAGGTCTTTTACTAGAGAAAGTGCAATGGACTACCATGAAACCTATTTTGAAAAGCCAGCACATACGAGCCAGGAAAGTGGGCAGGTACTTACCCAGTGTTGGATTTATTCCAAGGTACAGTTTGAAATGGACTTGCTGAAAACCCCATTATCCCTGAATCGGTGTGGATTTAGGGAAGTAAGTATATCCTGTAAGACAACAATCTAAGGTGGCGATGATACTTTTATTAAAAGTGAATAAAAAAATAAATGAGATATTTACCCCATTAAAATTGTTGAATAGATTAAAGAATCATGACTGGACAGAGAAGAGATCTAACTGGAGATAAAATCACCAGATGATGAAGAATACCTGTTGGGCATTGTCCAATTACCTGCCTGGAAGATCTCATACAATGGTCTCCAAAAAGAGTGAGACAAGGAATGAAGCTGATGAAAAGTGAAATGACAGATTCAGCAAGTATCAACCACTCTGGAAAAACAAACAACCCAAATGAAGCTGGGCTCAATCTGTAATAGCAGACTAAAGATTCATGGATGAGGAGGGGTCACACAGCAAGAATAGGTTATAGTGGGCATCCCAAAAGAGAGCTGTATAAGTCAAGCAGCACCAGATCACCCAACAATCATAGTGGGTAGGAAAAGAGAAGAGAAATGGGAGAAAAGAACTGGTCACTCTCCCAAGCCAACCATGTACATGTATAAGGAAGGAAAGAGCAGTAGGGAACATAGGGGAGTAAGATTTGTGGAAGAAAGAGTAGTTATGGAACAAAAGAGTAAGATTTGTGGAACAGAGTACAGAAGGCATATAAGGCATAAATGTTGGAACAGCCAAGACTTCAAGCCAGAAGGAAAAGGAAATAGGCCTTCAAGGAAAGGTGAGAGAAGGAACAAGTGGCCAGGAGTTCAAACAAGGTTTTGGTAAGAATGTAAAGAACCATGAGAAAGATCTGATCAGTAAATGAGCCAAATGAGAAAAATAAAAAAGAAGAACCAGAAGAAGGCAGAAGGACATGGAAAAATATATGAAACTACAGTGAAAAGGCAAAAAAGTGGCTGGCAAGGCTGCATGATATCCTGTCATGGTGTAGAACAATACAATCTCTGGTCAAAAACCATTTTCATCATGAAACAGAGAGAGTGAAAGGACGAATTGAGAGGTTTGAAAGAAGGGCAACACAATATGAAAAATTGACCATCAAGGAAGGAATGGAAAAAATCACAGCACTGCCGAATCAAAAAGTAATGTAGAAGGTTGGAGCAAGAGTAACCTTGATGATGGAAGAAAAGAAGTAGTTAAGATAAGAGTCAGTGGAGAAGAGAAAACCAATACAGATCTGCCAATAAGGTGCTACCAACAGGACTCGATGAGTAGGGTCATGAAACATTGCTAAGATATATTGGGGGAAGGATGATAGCACATGACACATACAAAAAAGAAGAGAACAATACAGGTTGAGGGTATCCACAGCCAAAGCAACCACTTGCGAGAGCAGTGACCAAAAGAGCTGAGGTGAGCAGATATTTCATGACTCGCAGACAAAACAGAGAAGTATGAGCTCAAAGGTGATGTGAAGAGAAATGGACTCCAAGGTGGATCACAATGTAGAGTTGGAATCAGAAACAACCAAGAAAATAAGACCAGCCACCCTAGATAAACAGCCTCTAGAGGAAAAGGGCTGGGCTGTAGAAGAGGCTTACTGAGTAGAAGTAAAAAGTAGCCAAATGTATCATGGTGGACAAACCAAGCAAATCTTGTGATAACAGGGCTATGGGAATGTGAAGAAAGGCGTCAGAGACATGGACTTTCTTCATCCTAAAGCCAGGGAAAAACAACCTATTAAGAGGAAGAAACCCCTTCATCTATAACTGAGAAATCATCAGAAGTGGTTCTGAGAAGTATTGAAGGGATGTCAGTCCCAAAGATTCAAGGGGACAATGAAAAAACTGGAATTGTAACCTGAAGAGGGGCAAGAGATTCTCTCTTTGGCATTCAAAACCTGGAACTCTGACATTTTGTCCTCATGATAGAGGCTGTGCTGAGGATTGGCAGGTGAAGGAAAACAATGGTAAAAGGAGAAGTGAAGAGAATGGGTAAGAACATGAAGGGAGTCCACAGGTCATCAAAAACAAAAGAAATGCTCCAAAATGACTCAAGTTGATTGGATACAAAAAGAGATAGTCACTGGCAGGATGAAGAAATTCTATTCCTCTGAAGAAATGTGAGGATAACAAGCATGATGATAGACTAAAAAAATGAGAGAAAATTGCTCATAAACAACTTCTGCCAAAGACTCCAAGGTGTGAGGAACACACCAAAAACCTTGTGGCAAATGATTGAAGTGAGATGCAAGCCACATAGGGAAGATTGAGAATGATGAACAACAAACAAAAAGGTGTACTGTCTGAAAAGACCTAAACTATACAGAAACCATGTGAAAAGAGAGAGAGAGCTGAAAATGAGACTCTGGTATAAGTAGGAAAAAGGATGCACCCAAGATACCTCAGAAGATCTATCTGAAACCCGGTGAAGGGCCTCAGATAGGAGATAAACAACAAGAAAATAAATGGCAAAAGGATAGAGCAAAAAGAAGGTGAAGGCAGAAATGAGCCCCAGAGACAGAGGGTCAACCCCCAAGCAGATAGAAGGGATTCCAGGGATTGAGGATCAAAGAAGGTGAAATGGGAATGACTATAAGTCATGTTCAAGGAATCGTGGAAATAAGAATGAGGTAGAGAAGAGTGGGAATGATGCTGAGACAAGAAGATCTCAGCTTGGATACTAAAGTCAGGTAAAAGAATAAAGCTATGGCATGAAAGCACAGAATAAAGATCAGGAAGAAACATGGGACAAAGGAAAAATTGAAAACGTAGCAACAAAGAGAGAGAGAGGAATGACATGTTCCTCAACAGAAAACGATGTGACCAGAGCAAAACTAGACAGTAAAAATAGAAAAAAATGTTGACTTTCTGGTTGGGCTCAGGATTGGATAATGCACAAGAAATGGTGAAAACTGTTGGTAACATCTTCCATAGACAAAGAACTACCAGCAGCCATAAACATGATAGAAGCTGTGAGGAATTTCAAGACATCAGAATGTATGGCATCTTGATTTTAGCAAACAACCATAATGTAGAACCTTAACTAGTCTCAATCAAGATAAAATTTTGGTTTTGTGAACAGAGCTAGAACCACAAAAGGACAAAGCCACAGAAACATGAGAATTCATGGTGTAGAACTGTTCAGAATTTTTTTTTTTTACATGCAACAACTGTTATGTACAGATTTATGGAATTAGGAGAACTTTACAAGAAAGACTCATGGCCTGGCAAAGTAATAGTTAGAAATAGTCAGAAAGACAGTAACTATAATTTTAAAGATTATTAAATCAAATGAATCATAAAGGTTGAGCAAAATCTTTCAAAATTTAGGATGGCTGTTAATGGCAGTGCCAAGTTTAAGAATGAAGTTAACTCCAAGCGCAAATGCTTATGGGAAGCTACTGCCCATGGAGAATGTATTGCCTCCTACTGGTGAAAGGCTATTGCTGCATGATTATTTCACCATGTACTAGAACAGTTCCCATCAAAACATGTGATTTAGGTTGGAGCTAGTTCAAGTCTAATGATATACACAAAATCTTAAGATCAGACACATGAAAAATCGCTGCTGTGTGAAGAGGTAAGTTGATCATTTTAGAAAGAAGTATTTTAATAGTTTTTTTCAAAATTGCCTCAGAAAAAATTTTTTAATTTGAAAATTTAAAAACATAACAGATAAAGTATATCAAGTTGCATGAATTTTTTAAAGCCAAAACTAGAAAGTTTGTAATAAAATTTCATTACATATTTCTACTGTAAGAAAAGAACATGTATATCAATGAACCCCTAAGGTCTGAGAAGGGTTATAAAATTATTAAACTGTATGTTTTCTTCTCACAGTGCAGATAGACATGGTGTGTTTTAAATTTACATCCAGTTTTAATCTACACATGCTTGTGGACTATAAAGATTAATAAAAAAAAAGAATTATTCTTGCTAATTATTTTACATGTACCTCTTTAAATTTGTTTTCTGGCTGTTCACCATGATCTGCTGCCATAGCTATAGTCGAAGGCTGAGACTTCAGGAAGAGTTTATCTGTAATTTTTTCATCATCTTTAGAACTGCTTCTCCTACATTTGGGAATATGTGTTCTAAACAACAGAGAGAGAGAAAAAAAAAAGATCAGTTCTGTCGAATTTGGTTACAAAAACAAAATTGGTTCGATCCATTAAATTATGAAAATTACATTCACCATATATTTAAAATGGGTTTACAATTCAATACTTTTTATTTTGTATTTTATTGCCTGTAGTAATTTCAACTTACAAAATGTGTTATATCAGTTATCAAAAAAAAAAGATTTTGAACCTCAAATGTAAAGAAATTAAACATACCTTTTACCCACAGATGAAGATGATGTGTCAAAAACAGGCAATTCAAAATCACCATCAGATGAATTACCTGTGTCGTTGTCAATTTGTTCTATGCTGGGTGGAGAGGGTGTTGGAAAAGTAATATATTCTTCATCAATTCCAGCACTCTATCAAAAAATAAATTAATAGGTAAAATGTGATAAAAAAAAAAGGTTTATTTTTCACTTGAAAGTATATCTTTATTAACTAAATACTAAATAATGTAGCTTTTAAGATATTTTAGATATCCAATCTAATCTGAATTGATGTTTCAAGTAATAAATTTATTGAAGTGCTACATTATCAAGTTAATATTAATCACAAAATAATTAAACATTGATAAATACAAGATAAAGCTAGGCTGAACAAATATCATTCCCCATTTCTCAGAAAACTGAATTTTGCTGTCTGAAAATCTTGAACAATATTTGAATCTCCTGCAAGAAAGTCAAATTCTATTAGCATGAAATTTGCTTAAAGAACAGGAAAATTGAATGATTAGCTGGACTACAAGCATGTGTGTCTTCTATAAAATATAGCTCATCTTAAACAAAAAAAGAAAAAAGAAACATAATTGTCAATAGAGTGGCTCATCACCCTAACCATTAACCTTTTGTGATTAGAGTGTGTTGATACACAAGGAGTGTTTGTGTGTGTATTTTGAAATTATATTTTTAATTTTCACAGAAACCATATTTCTATTTTTGAAATGGTGACTTTTAACTTTTATCTAAAAACCCTAAAATCAGTAAGATTATTACCCACTCCAAGGGAAATGACCTACGAAGTTTGATTAAAATATGTTTATAACTCTAGTAATCATGCAAAAAATAATGTCTACGGGGCAAATGCACAGAAATACAACGTTATGTCTACCCCCTCCCCTCCATCCTTTTTTGGACAGGGGGATAAAAATCCACCAAATGAAGTATACACTATTCTTCTATGAAAGTAAAAAAATGTTATAAAATTTTGCTCAGTCTGGAACATGTCCCTTTTTTAATATAACCATGGCAGATTTGTGAAAACATTTTTTTAGTATTCCAATTGTTTATCCAAAATTATAAAATCATTATGTTTTTAGTAAATAAATCACAATATAGTACTAATATACGGTAATTTATAATAAATACATGCAAAAAAATAAATTTATACCAAACTTGGGAAGAAGAAAAACAAATTGAGCCTGATTGGATTAAAGGGTCAAAAGAAATAATAACATTTAATCAATGGACAATCCCATGACTATTAATCAACCTTCCGCTCAAAAACTATTTGTACTAGACTTTTCTCAGGTGTCACTTATGTAAAATAGGTTAAATAGATAGCTGCATTACTCTTCAGTATCTTGCCAATTTTCTACTTATACCAATATGTGTGTTAACGTGTTTAACAAATGGCAAAAACTCATGCAGAAGGTTAACAGAGGTCAAGAAAAGATAGTATAAAACCTGAGTGAGTGTAGACCCATATGTACCCTTCCATATATTTCTGTCTTTCTTTGTGTAAAGTTATTACATTTGAAAATGCGTACAACTGTATGTTTCTGAAGATCTGTTATTTGCTTCAAGAACTTTATTCAGTAGCAGAGCATAATCAACTCCTTTCTCTTACATCTCAGATTTATTTTTCTTTATAAAAAAATACTTTAGAATACATCAAAATATAGTTATTCCATGAGAAAACAAAGCACATTTGTCAGGAATCAACCATCTAGTAACAAAAAAGAATTAACTGAGATATATATCAAAACAAAAATAAAGAGAAACATTGAAGCAATTTCTTCTTTATTTATATCTAATTTCAGAAAACACAGATAATAAAAAAGTGACAAATAACTAGGCTTTATGCAACTATTGTATTTATTAACAAAAGAAACACTAATTATTTAAGTACCGTTATTGTTTTTGTGCGACTCTCAAAAAATATGCAAAAGAACTTTCATTTGGTAAATCTGTGGAACAAGAAAAAGCTTATTTGCACTCTAAATCTGGTCCTCTTATAATATTTCAGAATAAGAGTAAAAATTAGTGATTTGAGCAACTGTTTGAGCTTAATACACATAAGAATAATTTAAGTATTTATTTAAAATAATGGAAAACAAAAGGCTACTTACAATAACTAAAGCACATTGACTTACATCAAAGTTATGCTCTTACTTTTACAGCATCTATATCAAACAATAACACAGTTATTTGAATGTAGATTGTTAAACTTTGTTTTTTTCTTGGAAAAGTATTGTTTCAAAAATATTTTACCTCAATGCCAAAATAAACAAAAAATGGGTATTATTGTGGTTGATAATGATGAAAAACCTTTTTAAGCTTTTAATGTCCTATACTAACATTTACAAACAAGTTTTATGGTGCATCACAAAAACTGGTGTTTAACTCGCTATTGTATCTACATGAAAACACTGTAATAAAGTCATATTTTTAGATATACCTTTGGTAGGCCTATCTAGATTTAGTCATGCTGGCTTCAGATTTTATCCTACCATACTTTGAGTTATAAAAGTGTATGTATGTTTGAAATACATTTACTGCAGCAAAAGAAAAACATAAATGGATTGGCAGATAATGTATAAAGGTGTGATATCTCAAGAATTTCTAGCAAAGTAGAGAAGCCTTGCCACTCAAAAAAAGGAGGTTTGGACATCTCGTATGCAAATGTATTTCCCAATGGGTGCAAAAATTGTGCCACAAAAAAATTAGATCAACACTGATTTCACATAGAAGGCAAATTGTTATTGAGCTCCAATGCTGACAATATATATAGAACACAATACAATGCAATACACTACAAGAGAATGAGCAAGTGATGCCATGTGCATGTGTTTTAAATGGAAAATGTAGGACCAGCAGGAGCTAAAAGAGACTTTGTTAGAACAACAACAAAAAAGGCTCCTGATGGCCTGTGTAAACTATATCCTAAAATAGAACCAGTAAATAAAAGAAAAACAATTCTAAGTTAGATTAAGTTATATTATCTTCACTTTAGTTTACTTAAGTAAAACAATGATACACTCAAGTGGCAACATCAAAGTCCCTACCTTGGGTTCCACTGACAATTAAAATACCTTCATTAAATAATAAACAAGGAAAATACAATTCCAACAACATCAGAGCCTATGCTACATTAAAACACTAATAACCATCCTCATATGGTGAACTTAAATAATCATAATTCATTGACATGAACATTATGGCACTAGCCTTAAGTTAAGTGAACATAATGGCATCTAAAGCTAAACTACTGCTAACACTTGCTGGATAATTTTAATAGCTCCCCTAAAACAAGACAAAATAGAATAAAATAAATAATACACACCCAAAGTTACAAACAATTCAGGTGAAGATCTACATTAAAATCTGTAGAAAACCTATGTAAATACTGGTAGAATCTATGTAAAAATGTACTGCAAAATCTGAGTGAAATTTGCTAAAACTCTGCTCTCCCAGGTCCCAAAATGGTTTATAATGTGGCAATAAACCCTCGAGTTTTTGACACAAAAAAACATTTATTAGTGCTTGGTAGATCAGTTGGCCAATGGGCAGTGAAGATCATGGATGAGTTCATCCACAACTACTGCCCTATTTGCTGACAAGAATAACTCAGCAGGCTGACTAAAAAGCATGTTGTTATTCATACAAGAGAATCAGACAAGACGGCACTTAATCTCCACTTGACCCAATTAGCCCCTGGGGAAAATTAAAGTTAGAAACTTTAGAAGTATAGAGAAAATAATTACAAGTTTGTGAACTTAACTTTTAAACTAAAAGATTTGGAAAATACTTAGTACAACCCTTTACTACAAAAACAATAACCAATTCATGAGATTGTAACAGAGCAAGACATTGAAACCAGTCTTAAGCAAATAGGGAGGCAAGGATGTAGGAAATTTGTTGTATAAGCAAGTTCAATTTTGTTTGTTTATTTGTTGTTAAGCACAAAGCTACAACACATTGGGTTATCTATGCACTGACCATCACAGGTATCAAAATTTTGTTTTTAATGTTATATGCCCTCAGACTGACTGCTGAGTCACAAGGGGGACAAGTGAATTTGATGAAGAAAATAATCACTCAACTTTCACACAAGCTACAAATCAAAATAAATTTTACCTGTTTTACCTTAATGTTTTTTTATAATGGTGCAAGAAAAACCTATACTTTAATGGGTATTTCAAAATTCATATTCCAAAAAAAATTAATTTTGTATTTTTTTTTCATATTTATAAATTCTGCTGCACATACATATGCACAGTATTTTTGATACAAAAATGACTGAAAATATGTTTAGAAATTATCAAAATAATAGACCCACTCCTGTGTCTCACTTAACATGTTCAGAATCCTAAGGAATAAAACCCAGATCAAATGATATATCATTGTTGCATATTATGAAAATAAAGTTTATATCACTAAACTTTTTAACTGACAACACTCACCTATTTTACATGTATTAACATATTCAAAAACAAAGCTCTAAAAGATATGTATATATATTTGAGGTTTAATTGTAAATTATTTTAAAAATGAGTAGAACCTTCCCACAAATTTCTCAGTTACAAGTTTAATAAAACTTTTTCTTACCAATAAGTAAAAAGATATAAACTAGCTTTTTCGTATAAAAATCATATCTTATTGATATAACTTAGTTAAAAATGATTATTCATTGTTTAATCAACATTGTACATGTTATGGACGAGAAAGACGACTCACATGGTCAACATTACACGTGTCACTAGCTTTGACACTGGAAGGATGCTGAGTTTCTGGTATGTAAGCAACAGACATACTTTTCTTCATTAAGCTAGGTCTGGCAAGATTTTTCTCATCTTTTCATGTAAAGAAAAATGATAACATGATAAAAACAAATAAATAAAACTATAAACTTTCAAGCTCAAAAATTTATAAACTAAATTTTGTCACTTATTTGAAAGTTTTATCTATCATACTAGAAATCTTGAACTGAAAATGGATAATAGTTTTCTGTA